TTCAAATGGCATTTAGAGGCTTTTGCATCTGAACTCTTCATATATAGTGTTAAAAACAAGAGTTTAACTAAGAGAAAATGGCCCTTATCCATTTTTCTTTTCTCAAGTTTATTGGTTCACTTTAGGTTGCAAATCAATTCATAAATACAAACCGTATACATTAAGTTTAATAAATTTAATATAGACAGCTGACATTTCTTTGCACCAATAAATTTCTCTCAACAACCATGTATGCTTTGCATAGAATATGCGAGGATTTTCATCATTGTTACCTCAAAAAAAAACAACAAAAAAAATACAGACAAGTTCAATGAGTTTCCAGTCATCACAAAAAGTCAAATAAAATTTTAATGTCACTGAATTTCTGCAAAGTGGCCAACAAACGTCTGACAGACCAAATACAGGATAAAATTCTGCACGTCATTTTGAAGAAAACCAAAATAAGTGAGCCCCAGCTTCAACTCAAAACATTCAGTCTTGTAATATTAGCTATTTATTTAATCAAATTCTCAATTTTATTTACACAAATGTATACATGTGGGAGACTCGACATCCCGTATAGCTGTCACACATAGAAAGCTAGGTTACGCCAGAGCTGATGTGTTGTTTTATTATCAAAAAATATATGAAACATTTTGTGCTCCTCGTACAAAATCGTACATACACGTTGTTCTGAAGTAGCGTCTGGGAGAAGAGAGGAAACTAAATGCTTTATCTTTTCCTGAACACTCAAATGGCTGTAGATTAAAACCTTTATTCGGCACAAAAATGCATCAAACTATATAATGAGCACATCAAACAACAGAAGTCTCCGTCCTAAAGTCCTGCTTTCGGTTGAGTCGCTCAATACAGGGGAAAGATCACACATACGTAACATGTGGTGCATGTTTTTGCTCCAACCAATTATGTGACTGGCGTCCGTCTTTTAGTGTCAAGCAAGAGTTTATTACACACACACACACACACACACTATCAAATTTCAAATTCTCCTGAAAAATCAAAAGAGAATGAACATGATTAAGCCCTTCTGTGATGCTGTGTTGTACCTTTCAGAGTTCCCCGTGTTCCTGTCTCCTTTCACTACACATAGAATTTAATACGTTAATTGGATGTTAATTGATCACAGCTGTCACTCCTCATTGCTTCAGATATAGTGGGCAAGTGTCAATGAATTACAGTGAGAACCACTTAAATTATATCACAGGATTTTTTGTCTTCTCCATTTTCCAGTGGAATATAACCCGTTGGAGTGTGAAACGTAATTATACAAGAGACAGAATTGAGATCTACGTTAAGAACAATCAATGCGTCCGAAATCATGTACTGTCTGAGTATGTACTACACTTGAATTTGAACTTACTATGCAGTCGTATTATACAGTAATACTGTGTGCAATGCATGTGAACTACCAGCGTCAGTCACGTCACGTCACTTCCATTCATAAATCCTGTCCAGTGGCCTCATGGGATAGTAAAGTGTCCAGCGAATGTACACTTCAGAATCACTCCGGAAGTAGTAGGTATTCTGGGGAGCTTTTGTATTCCGATTCTGAATACATACTAGTTGCCATACTGTTTTTTTTTTTTTCGCATACTATATAGGGAAGTATTCGATTTCGGACGCAGCGAATGTGTCTTTTGCATTTGCATTCTGGCATATAGCGTATGCTACATTGTATACATGCTACCGTTCAAAACTATGGAAGATTGTTTCTGCTACTGAATAAAAAATTAAATAAAAAAATAATTGCGACATTTTATCTCATAATTTCGAGATATAAAGTCAGAATTGTGAGAAATAAAGTTGCAATTGCAGGATTTAAAGTCGCAGTTCTGTGAAATAATGTCGCAATTCTGAGATTTAAAGTCGCAATTGTGAGAATTAAAGTTGCAATTCTGAGAAATAAAGTCGCAATTGCGAGACATAAAGTTGCAATTTCTGAGAAATAATATCACAATTGCGAGATTTAAAGTCGCAATTCTGAGAAATAAAGATTTAAAGTCGCAATTCTGAGAAATAAAGTCGCAATTGCGAGATATAAAGTCGCAATTTCTGAGAAATAATATCGTAATTGCGAGATATAAAGTCGCAATTCTGAGAAATAAAGTCGCAATTGCGAGATTTAAAGTCGCAATTCTGAGAAATAAAGTCGCAATTGCGAGATATAAAGTCGCAATTTCTGAGAAATAATATCGCAATTGCGAGATTTAAAGTCGCAATTCTAAGAAATAAAGTCGCAATTGCAAGATATAAAGTCACAATTTCTAAAAAATAATATCGCAATTGCGAGATTTAAAGTCGCAATTTCTGAGAAATAATATCGCAATTGCGAGATTTAAAGTCGCGATTCTGAGAAACAAAGTCGCAATTGCGAGATATAAAGTCGCAATTTCGGAGAAATAATATCGCAATTGTGAGATTTAAAGTCGCAATTCTGAGAAATAAAGTCGCAATTGCAAGATATAAAGTCACAATTTCTGAGAAATAATATCGCAATTGCGAGATTTAAAGTCGCGATTCTGAGAAACAAAGTCGCAATTGCAAGATATAGTCACAATTTCTGAGAAATAATATCGCAATTGCGAGATTTAAAGTCGCAATTCTGAGAAATAAATTTGCAATTGCGAGATTTAAAATCCCAATTCTGAGAAATAATGTCGCAATTGTGAGAAAAAAAGACAGAATTAGGAATTTTTATCTCACAATTCTGACTTTATAAAAAATAGTTGCGAGTTTATATCCCAAAATTCTGACATCTTTTCTCAGAATTGTGAGATATAAAGTCGCAATTGCCAGTTATCAGGCCAATTGTAAGGGGGGAAAAGACACATTTTCCCATCAGAATAGTTTAAATCTCACAATTCTGACTTTACAACACGCAATTTTGACTTTATAGCTTGCAATTGCGACTTTATATCAATCAATTCTGACTTTATAACATGAAATTGCGACTTAATATCACGCAATTCTGACTTTATATCTCGCAATTGTGAGATAAAAAGTCGCAATTACCTTTTTCAGTTTTTCATTAAGTGGTGGAAACAAGCTTCCATACAAGACTTCAGTAAGGGTCAGTAAGATTTTTTTTGGTAACACTTTGAAACCTTTTATATATAATGCATTGACTCTGCTCTGCTTTGCGATGCATCTTCTAATGCATTGTAGGATATTATGAACAGTTGTAAACAGTTATTTTACATTGGGTCACACTTTATATTAGTCTGTCTTTAACTATTTACTTCCATCAAAAATGAATTATGGCAGCACTTTACTTGCTTACACTTTATTTTACAGTGTCATTGTTGTGTATATTACATGTACTTACTATAGTAATAACTATAAATTAAATATCTAAATATCAAAACTTGAATGTATAATTGAATGTACACCTTAGATAAAGTGTAAGCCTTTATTTTAAGGTGATGTAGTTACATTGTACTTACTCAAATATATGTAATATTAGTAAACTACATGCACTTACTATTGAGTAATGGTTAGGGTTTGGTTTATGGGTTAGTTACCTGTAATCAGTGTTGGGTAAGTTACTCTAAAAAAGTAATTAATTACTAGTTACTAATTACCTCTTCAACAATGTAATTAGATTACTGTGCTAATTACTCTCTCTAAAAAGTATTTTATTACTTTTAATTAATTACTTTCAAAATCTCATATCAATCTCAACCATCTGAATAATCCAAGGATAGACATGAATCTGTTTTAATTCTTTCAAATAAATACTATAAAATTGCTTGAATTATCTTTAAAATGACCAAGGTGGAGAAGGTTACATTATAAAAACATACTTTTTAGAATCAGACAATACATTTTGATGTTAAACCCACTATTGTTTTATGTCTGATCACTTTTTTCATACATATTTTACAATAATTCATACGAATTTGTACGAGTGCGGTCGTAATATTTAAATTCCTCATAAAATGCATACGGATCGCTGTGAGATCGGATTGATGCACAGTATTTACCTCAATTACATCAGAAGTAACTGTAATTAAATTACAGATAAATTAAGAGTAATCCCTTATTTTACATTTTCAAGGGAAAAGTAATTAAATTACAGTAACTAATTACTTAGTAATTAGTTGCACCCAACACTGCCTGTAATTATGCATAATTGACTGTTTTGTATTATAATGTGTAACTACGTCACCTTAAAATAGTGATATTTTATTGTCCTGTTTCGCATATACATATGCACTTATTGTGGTAATGACACTAACAACTACCTTGAACCTTAACCCATGTTGTCAGTATTTTCATTGGGAAGTACACTGTACTTAACAATTATCACTTTATTTTACAGTATGTGCACTTTCAAAGTGCTTACAGTGTACTTATTGTGTTGCTGTTTTGCACTTTTGCTGCTATTGAGGTGGGTTACAGGTAAGGTTAGGGATGAGTTTAGTGATATGGGTAGGTTTAAGGGTGAAAAGGAAAATGACAAATGTGTGATTATGGATGTAATTACATGCAGACATTTAAAATATATATATATATAAGTAGAATGTCAAAAAATGTATGAACAGAATAAGTGCATTGTATTTAAATATTAGTACATAAAGACCCTTAATATAAAGTGGGACCAAAAAAACCCAAACTTCTGAACGGTAGAGTATGTACAGTATAAAAACAGAATCAAAATTAGCCAATTCCTCTTACTTTCTTGGGAATTGGAAAGTGTGAACATTATCAACAGCTTTGCTTTTTGGTTCTGGGTGTCTTGGTTTGTTTAGCACATTTTAGTGTTCAATTATAGAGAAAGAACAAATGTCACACACAAAACAGTAAAAACATCCACACATCAAGAAAGTGTTTCTCCCAAACTCAACTTTTCTTCATTCCGTGCCAAGCCAAAAGCAAACGAATTTTCAACAAAAATCAGAAATGTTCTCTCCACCTTTCCAAACTAAAGTGGAAATCAGCGCACAACGGGTGAGTTTGGGGTCACTGGGGTTCTCAACATTTTCTTTTTGCAATTAAAAAAGTTGATCTGTGGGAGTAAAAGTCAAGTAACTTAAATGCATGTCTCCTTGTCTAAATCAAAGTCAGTGGGGGTGTGCTTCTTGCCACGAGTGCATTGTATTAAGGCACAGGCGCTGTTCTCCTTTTTGAACAGAGTGGGTGCATGGGTTCGATCCCGGTGCAAGCACAGTTTTGGTTCAGGTGATCACCATCAATGTAGGACTTGAGTAATAATACAAAATGAGATGTTACAAATAGCTTTGACCTCTCGTATTTAATGCGGCGTATGCAAGATAAAGCACCCACTGTACTTTCCTCAGCAAAAACATATTGATTCTGATTGAAAACGAGGACGCTAATGAGAAAAAGCGAAGGTATGCGCGACTTTAACGATGTGTCGAATGGTTTTCTGGTGATCACCTTGAAAGTTTCTGGTTCAAACATTGTTTTACACGAATCTTGAGGAAATCCTTTTCGGTTCTTGTCCAGCGTTGGATTCTTTAAGAGGAACGGGTCCTCTGTATGTGTGAGTGTAATGTAGTGTGTGTGTGGAAGTGAGTTTGTGTGTATCTAGAGGCATAAGTTGCTGCTGATCTGGCAAGTGGATCCAGTTCCTGCTTGTGATAAGAAGAGTTTTCCGTTGGGACAGACACACACCTCAAACACAGTCTGTCTAGTTCCAGACGGGGACGGGGCTTTTCCCTCCGGCAGACGTAAGAGCTTGATTTTCCTGGCATCCAAGGTGATCTAAAGAGAGAGAAAGAAGAGGATCTGAAGTTTATTTCATTGTTCACTGTAAAAAAAAAAAAAGTGTTCAATTTACGGTAAAATACCGGCAAAAATACGGTAGCAAGACTTTACGGTAACAAGGTTTTACAGACTTAACTTAAAATTTACAGCAATAAACTGCATTTCATTATCTGGTATAATGTTAAATTACAGACCTATTGAAGTATTAATATCTGTTTTGTAGCAATGTTATACACTGACAACCACCAATCACAGCAGCGATGAGAGTCACATGATATATGTGCAGCTCTTCCACAAGAAACTTAAATTTTACTTAAATATTAATATATAACTTAAATATTAATTTATATATTAAATATTAATATATACTCACTGCAACATTAAACAACATCATGGTAACACAATGAAATTTTAAAAAGGCAATAAACATTAATTTAACAACATTAAATGTCACATAAAACCCTAATGTACATAACTGATTAGAAAAAGACTAACAAGGTATTTCAACAAACATACATAAAATGCAAAGTGTCATGCAGGGAATTGTGGGAATTCCAACTTTAAAAAAAGTTTTTTTTTTCACATTAAATTATACGAGTTGTTGATTTTCACTTTTAAAAACAGTAAATTTAACGGTATTTTACAGTAAAATTACATGAAGTTTACCATTAGATCTATCACAGTTATTTACCGTATATAGTAAGGAAAGGTTCTGTTAACCAATTAGCATTTTTACCTAGAAAAATGATCTCATAATTCTGAGATAATTAACTCGTTAAATCAGAAAAACAGAAAAAGTTTTTTTTCAAGAAAAATGATCTCGAGATAATTAACTTGTTAATTCAGAAAAACGGAGCAAAAACTTTATTCCATGAAAAATGATCTTGTAATTCTGAGATAATTAACTCGTTAATTCAGAAAAACGGAGCAAAAAATATTTCCAAGAAAAAATGATCTTGTAATTCTGAGATAATTAACTCGTTAAATCAGAAAAACAGAACAATACATTTTTTCCAAGAAAAAATGATCTCGTAATTCTGAGATAATTGACTGGTTAATTCCGAAAAACGGAACAAAAACTTTATTCCATGAAAAATTCTCGTAATTCTGAGATAATTAACTCGTTAAATCAGAAAAACAGAAAAAGTTTTTTTTCAAGAAAAATGATCTCGTAATTCTGAGATAATTAACTCGTTAATTCAGAAAAACGGAGCAAAAAATATTTCCAAGAAAAAATGATCTTGTAATTCTGAGATAATTAACTCGTTAAATCAGAAAAACAGAACAAAGTTTTTTCCAAGAAAAAATGATCTCGTAATTCTGAGATAATTGACTTGTTAATTCCGAAAAACGGAACAAAAACTTTATTCCATGAAAAATTCTCGTAATTCTGAGATAATTAACTTGTTAAATCAGAAAAAACAGAAAAAAGTTTTTTTTCAAGAAAAATGATCTCGAGATAATTAACTTGTTAATTCAGAAAAACGGAGCAAAAACTTTATTCCATGAAAAATGATCTTGTAATTCTGAGATAATTAACTCGTTAATTCAGAAAAACGGAGCAAAAAATATTTCCAAGAAAAAATGATCTTGTAATTCTGAGATAATTAACTCGTTAAATCAGAAAAACAGAACAAAAAGTTTTTTTCCAAGAAAAATGATCTCGTAATTCTGAGATAATTGACTTGTTAATTCCGAAAAACGGAACAAAAACTTTATTCCATGAAAAATTCTCGTAATTCTGAGATAATTAACTCGTTAAATCAGAAAAACAGAAAAAGTTTTTTTTCAAGAAAAATGATCTCGTAATTCTGAGATAATTAACTCGTTAATTCAGAAAAACGGAGCAAAAAATATTTCCAAGAAAAAATGATCTTGTAATTCTGATATAATTAACTCGTTAAATCAGAAAAACAGAACAAAACGTTTTTTCCAAGAAAAAATGATCTCGTAATTCTGAGATAATTGACTTGTTAATTCCGAAAAATGGAACAAAAACTTTATTCCATGAAAAATTCTCGTAATTCTGAGATAATTAACTCGTTAAATCAGAAAAACAGAAAAAGTTTTTTTTCAAGAAAAATGATCTCGTAATTCTGAGATAATTAACTTGTTAAATCAGAAAAACAGAAAAAAGTTTTTTTTCAAGAAAAATGATCTCGTAATTCTGAGATAATTAACTTGTTAATTCCGAAAAACGGAGCAAAAACTTTATTCCATGAAAAATGATCTCGTAATTCTGAGATAATTAACTCGTTAATTCAGAAAAAACAGAGTAGATTGTTTTTCTTCAAGTGACTGCAATACACCTCCGTACATTTCATTTAATGTTAATAGAAAGTGCCTTCTATAAGGGTAAAGATTAGTTCCATCAGTTTCTTTTTCTCTTTCGAACTCTCAAACTGTTGGCCCAAAAAGACCAGCGCTGTCATTTCATTGAACAAAATATCCCATCTCGCAGCCTGTTCATCCAAGTCAGGTCCATCCAACCAATCGTAGCAGTTTCAGTGACATAAGCACTCCAGTAAGTCTCGCTTAGACACACTTTTAGCCCTTTTCCGTTCTCATTTCTCACTTTCTATTTTTCATGGGACCCTTGAGAAAGCATGTATTACCAAGGCTGGGAGAGGAGCTAGTCAAGGTATAAAAAGGTAAGAGGAGTCATTACTGACAGCCTCAAGGAAGCATTCCCGTCAAATGACCTGAAACAGTTTTTAAGCAGGGGTCTCGGCTGACTTCCCCAGACATCTGCTACCGAGCACACTCGAGTGAGGGAGGGCTCTAATGTGCAAACCTCCAGCCTAATTGTGGTGGAACTGTCAAGGGGGCAGTCGGGCCGGCGGAGGTGTCTGGTAAAAAAAAGAGCCACAAATGGAAGTGCTGAGGGGTACTGGAGTGGAATATGCGACAGACGGGAGAAAGTCAAGAAAGCATAACCTGAAACTAAGAGAGCTGATTCAAGCTCGGTCCCTTGACCTCCCTGGGACTCGTTTATTTATCAATCTGCAAGTCAAATGGCAAAACCCAGGGGCGTAGCAATTATTATAAATGGGGGACATGTCCCCCATCACTCTTTTAGACATTTCTGCATTACTTCCTAATCTTTTTTTTTTTTTTTTTTCTGCGAGAGCATGGATAATTGCGACACTTTGCTCATTTATTCCAAAAAAAAATTTTCTGGTAAAGCTCTGAAATTTTACATTTTAGCCTGAAACAATTGAAATAGAAGTATAAAAATTAAAATCGAATGATAAATGTAAATAAAATGACGAAAAAAAGTTATGTATTGTGAATAAAAATATATTTTATCTGTGCATTGTTATTTTAGTCAAGGCACAACCTCCTCAAACACTAAACATTTATAATAAAACAATGTATTTTAAAACAATGAAAGATGGGCTGTATAGTGATATCAGGGAGCAATCAATTAAAACAAATTATTTTTATGCAACTAAATATTATGATGGCGCACGCAGACATGTTAGCAATTATTAGAAATGGGGGACATGTCCCCCATCACTCTTTTAGACATTTCTGCATTACTTCCTAATCTTTTTTTTTTCTACGAGAGCATGGATAATTGTGACACTTTGCTCATTTATTCAAAAAAAAAATAAAAATAAAAAATTCTGGTAAAGCTCTGAAAATTTTCCTCCACGGCTTTGGCATGTTAGCAGATATTAGCTGGGCCAATTTAATGTATAAAATAGAAATCGAATGATAAATGTAAATAAAATGATGAAAAAAGTTATGTATTGTGAATATAAATATATTTTATCTGTGCATTGTTATTTTAGTCAAGGCACAACCTCCTCAAACACTGCACATATTTTAAAACAATGAAAGATGGGCTGTATAGTGATATCAGAGAGCAATCAAGGGCTGTCAAACGATTAATCGCAATTAATCGCATCCAAAATAAAAGTTTGTGTTTACATAATATATGTGTGTGCACTGTGTATAATTATTTTATATATATATATATTTATATATATAAATACACACACATGCATGTATATATTTAAGAAATATTTTCATATACTGTATATAGATTTATATAAAATGTATAATATAAATATAAATATTTTATATATAAATAATATTTTTTCTTAAATATACATGCATATGTGTGTATTTCCATATATATATACAAAATAAGTATAGACAGTGCACACACATATATTATGTAAACACAAACTTTTATTTTGGATGCGATTAATCGTTTGACAGCCCTAATTTTTATGCAACTAAATATTATGAATTATGATGGCACATGCAGACATGTTCACTGTTACGGAATTATGAGGAAAATGAAACAAAAAAATAACAAAATGTACTTCCATACGTATCAGGCAGCTCTGGAGTGCAACAATAAAACAGGTAATTATGAAATAAAATCTAAAATAATGTCAAACTGTCGCAATTATGCGATATAATTTTGCAGCTGTGAGATATTAAAGGGTTAGTTCACCCAAAAATGAAAATTAAGTCATTAATTACTCACCCCCATGCTGTACCAACCCCGTAAGACCTTCGTTCGTCTTCGGAACACAAATGAAGATATTTTTGATTAAATTTGAGAGCTGTATAACTACCACATTGGCTCCTAAAGGACTGCCTCTTGACGGCCCAGAAAGTCAATGAAGAAAATGTTTAAATATCCCAAGTGACTACCGTGGCTCAACTATATGTTTATCAAGCGACGCGAATACTTTTTGTGCGAAAAAACAAACAAAAATAACGAGTTTATTCGACTATTTCTTTTCTTCCTTGTAGGCCAGAACGAGACTTCCTTAGATTTCCACGACGCATGCGCGAGATTTGCGATCTGCTCACATCAGCTTACACCACTTCAGATCGCAATTCTCGCGCATGCGTCGTGGAAATCTAAGGAAGTCTCGTTCTGGCCTACAAGGAAGAAAAGAAATAGTCGAATAAACTCGTTATTTTTGTTTGTTTTTTCGCACAAAAAGTATTCGCGTCGCTTGATAAACATATAGTTGAGCCACGGTAGTCACTTGGGATATTTAAACATTTTCTTCATTGACTTTCTGGGCCGTCAAGAGGCAGTCCTTTAGGAGCCAATGTGGTAGTTATACAGCTCTCAAATTTAATCAAAAATATCTTTATTTGTGTTCCGAAGACGAACGAAGGTCTTACGGGGTTGGTACAGCATGGGGGTGAGTAATTAATGACTTAATTTTCATTTTTGGGTGAACTAACCCTTTAAGTAGCAATTATGACAAATAAAGTCATAACCACTTTATTAATTTAGTCTGAAGCTGAAAATGAACCTCCCCAAATTATGACTTTTCCATGCCTTAATGACTCTCTCTACTTTTGAAATCATTCCCTAATTGGGGAAAACCATTCTTGCTGTGTGTGTAGGTATGCATATTAATTTAAAAACATGCTGATAATTTAAAATTCGCTACAATTCTCGTACACAGATTCCAACTGGATCTCTTAAAAGACCATAACAGCTCATTAATCAACACATTACCAGTCTGTGCTGGTAAAAACCACAGATATTTGAGTCAGATGAGATGACTGACATACATATTGTGTTACAGAATGAACGTCGGAAGGGGACATCACAACATTAACATACATTAACTACAGCATCAGGACTCCCAGAACAGAATGAAGGACAGTTACCTCTCCATCTTTCGACTCCAGGCGTAAATCGCTCCTACAGGTCGCCTGGAAATCCCCTGCGTCGGCTTCTATCTTCACTCCTTTAGGCGCCTCCATGTAAAGCGAACGTGTGGGAGACTCCAGCCTGAGAAGAAGACATCACAAAATACAATGTCTTAATAAGATAACCTTCAAATCAGATCAAAATGTTCTAGAAATGAAGCTGATGCGACTTGAGAGCTTCGTGATTCCCTAGAGGCAATGCAATTTCTGCCATCTCATTTTGTCACCAAATGCAATGTGTTCAATATATGAGAATTATGGAACATTCAGTTCAACATCCAGATGTTAATCAAGACACTTTGGCAGTTATATATAGAGTCAATTTCTGAATAGACATTTACTACAAAACTAAAAAGATAACATTTCCACCACAATTTCTAAAAGATACAATCATTTAAAGGAGAACTCTGGCGCAAAATGAACCTTTGGTCTAATTACACATTGGTGCCTAGTCGACTGTTCTCTGAGATTTGTTTTTCTTGATAATCGAATGTAAAGAGTTTTATCTCTAAAAACACTAGTATACACTCTTAGAGGAAATGGTTCCGTTTAGAACCAGAAATGGTTCCATCCCCTGCTTCATATATGGAACTCCTATATAGAACCATTTTTTTGGGTAAAAAGTTCTATTGGCCAAGTATGGAACGCCAGGGTTCTATATAGAACCCAGAGGAACCCTTTTTTTAAGAGTGTATAGAACCTTTTAGGGGTTCCAAATACGTAGCGCTGATAGAACCTTTTAAGGTTCTATATAGAACCTTTTCTTCTAAGAGTGTATGGGGGCATATAATAAGTAAAACGAAATCGCTATTTTTTACCATTAGGTCAATAGCGGACAGCAGGCCGTCTTTTGGCTGTTGAAATGCATTTGACCACATGAGCGTTTACACTACGAAAGCAATCCGGTCGAATGTGTTTTCAATTTTCAACTACCTCTAGAAGTGGCAGAAAGTGGACAAGCTCAAAACTTTTTAGACCAAGCATTCAGTGACGTCCACTTGTGATCCGAATCCGATCCACCAAAACTTAGTTCCACACTCTAAACAATGCTGGGTTGTTTTAACCCAAATTTGGGTCAAATATGGACAAACCCAAATGTTGGGTTTAAAATGTAATTTAAAATTTCAACCCAACTTTCAACTGTACATTTTTTTAAAATTCATTTTTAACCCAACATTTGGGTTTGTCCATTTTTGACCCAAATTTGGGTTGAAACAACCCAGCATTTTTTAGAGTACAGTAAACAGGGCCTTTTTTGTTGAGCACACACACACAATTATGAGTAAACAATTGTTTTTGCCAATTAATGAATAAAATTCCCAACTTCTCTATTGGTCGAAAAAGTTTTATTTTTGATATAAAAAAGGACATTTAGATGCTACATTCATTAAATAATGCAAGATGATTTTTTTTTAAATGAAATGTTGTAAATATATTTATAATTATTTTTTAATAGAATTTTTTTTTAACACAATTATTGTTTTGCAATAAAATATGTAATAAAACATAATTTTTATAATAATAAAATAATAGTATTCTGTATATTATATTTGAATTGTAAAAGATATGCTTTTTTATGAGATACAACACAATGACCTGCTAGTTAATGAGCCGCATAAGAGATCTGATTAGCATGTTAGTAGGCGAAGCGAAAGTAAGAAGTGAAAAGATGTGAGGGGCCAATCTAATGCAAATTACTGATAACAAAAGGGAAGATGAGGAGACCTATCTTAGTAGAGATTTAATTGAAAAATCACTTTAAAAAACAAAAAATAGCCTGGATGGATGCATTAAAAGTTTACGCCTCATATGAAAGCTATTTAGGAGTTTAAACGTTACAAATCAAAGTAAAATTAGGATCATTAGCTTGATGAAACATGAAAGCATCCTTCATTATCCTGAACCCGGCATTCAACCTTTTGAGTTTCAAACAGTCGGTCTGCGTGATATCGGTGGAGCAGACACAGGAGCTGTCACATAGGAAATTTAAGCAGATTCGGTGACATTGGGTTGGTGCACGGCAGTCGCCCCTACAGGGATTAAAAGGGAGTTGACTAATTTGTCGCTGGAAGAAAAACAAAGGTAAAATCTAATTTACCCCCTCTGGGTTTGAGAGATATATTAGGACAAATACATAAAACACAACCTGCATGTGTTCTACTCAGCCAAGGGAATACAGCCAACAAATGAGATGCACAGAAAGAGAAACAGAAGAGGAGTTCAAATAAACTGGTACGCTTGAACATTAGCATGGCGCTAACTGTGACTCGGTAAACCTGGGAGCTATCTTAAAGGGATACTTCACTTTTTTTGGGAAATAGGCTCATTTTACAACTCCCCCAGAGTTAAACTGTTGAGTTTTACTGTTTATGAATCCATTCAGCTGATCTCCAGTTCTGGCGGTAACACTTTTAGCATAGCTTAATAGCGCATAGCGTAATAATTGTGAAACTTTACTACCGTACCATGAGTGAAGCAGGCGTAATGATATGACACAGCGCCTGAAAATATAGTGCCCAGCTTCCAACGTGACCGGGACTAAGTTTATGTAGTCATACGCCGTGGTACGACAGTAAAGTGTCATGATTATTACGCAGGAATGAGAGTATAGTTCCTAGCCATATCAGCCTAAGAAATTGAAATTTACATTATCCGTCGGTCTTAGTGGACGATGTAACTACTGAAGAGTTAAGTTTTAAATAGGAAAAATATTGAAACTCTTTGGTCATTTTTTTTTTTTTTTTGAGAAATGCTAATGGTCTTGTCCACTTCAATGATGTATGCTAAGCTATGCTAAAAGTGGTACCGCCAGAACCGCAGATCGGCCGAATGGATTCAAAAACGGTCAAACTCAACAGTTTAACTCTGGGGGAGTTAGAGTAAAATGAGCCTATTTCCAATAAAAGTGGAGTATCCCTTTAAGGAGCAACCTTAAATTTGTTGGTGCCATCTTTGTAAAAAATTATCGTGATTTTAACGGTAAAAGACTGTAAAAATGCTACAGTGAAAAACTGTTAATTGGTTAAAAGAACCTTTCCTTACTATATACGGTAAATAATTGATATATATGGTACATTTAATGTAATTTTACTGTAACATACTGTTAAATTTACAGTTTTTTGAACAACTCATTGTAGAATTTACAGTGAAAAAAAATGTAAATTGACATTCCCACAATTCCCTGTGTGACACTTCATATTTAATGTAGCCTATTTTTCTTCATAATTTTCTTTTTTTTTCTAATCAGGGTTTTATGTTATGCTTATTGCATTTTTAAAATCTCAAACTTGTTACCATGATGGTGTTTAATGTTTGTGTGAATGACACTGTGCCGATCTATGTATTATTATGAACTTTCTTATAGAAGAGCTGGTCATGATGAGTTTTAATTGATCATTTGACTCTCATTACTGCTGTGATTGTTACATACAATGGTACAAAACAGATTTTAATACTTCAAAAGGTCAGTAAATTAACATTATATCAGATCATGAAAAATGGTTATTGCTGTAAAATTGAATACAGTTAAAAGTCTGCAAAACCTAAAATGCCGCTACCATATTTTTAAGAGGAAAACTCGTAACTCAGATTAATTTTTTTTTTTTACAGTGTATGCATTTAGCTTTATTGTCATAGAAGCATTAACAATTAGCATTCCCATTCAACTAAAAGGCTTTTGCTTGGCTGGTGCATAAGTTTGATAACGGCAAAATACTACCGTTTTTGACTGGATGCACACGTAAACAACAAAATATTTGTGTTTTCCTCTCCCTTTAAAATCATATTAAGCCTATATTTACTTTCCTAATAATGCAGAATTAAATAGTTAGTTGTATTTTTTTTACATTTAGCTTGCTCACAGCTAATGACAAGATTGCTTCTAGCCAATAGCCATGACATTTTTTTTACATGTTACAAGTTTTATGCATTTTAGTCATAATGTGTTTCCCTGTACGAACCAGCAAACCTCATGCAAAACAACAATGCAGACAGGTTAAACGGGTGCCTCCATCAGTTTTCAGCAGTGCCACTAATTTCCATACATTTACAGCCTTACACTTTCACTGAGGACTATTTCAAACTTGCTGTTACAATTTTCCATCCCGCCATCGGCTAAGCTGATTATTCCCAGTTCATTTATTCAATGATAATGAAAGGACCCAAGGGTGCTGTGACCCTGCGCACGGTGCACAGCATCCACCCAATTACCCCCGGGAAATACAGGCCTCAATGGGGCTCAGCAAGGCCGTTCTGGGCTCTTTTCAACTGGGATTGGAGCGATGACCAACGGGTCACGAGCAGCGAGCTCCATTCCATGACCAAAATAATTACCGCCTCCTTAAGCTGCGAAAGTAGAACGGACATGGCTGTTGAACAGAAAAGATAAGAGATACCAGCACAGAGGCGCTCTTGTTATATTACATGCACACTATAAAACGTGTTTTATGGCCTATTGTTTCACTGTATGCCTCTTTCTCCATTTATACTCACTGCCTTCCCAACTTTTATGGACTGCAAATTTTCCACAGTCAGCCTGTACCTGCCACAGTCCAGTGTCTTAAAAGTGATTATTTCTCACTCTTGCATTATGGGAAAGGAATCGGATGATAAAATGTTAAATCCGTATTGACAGCGTAGAATTACAAAGACAAAAACGTCTTGTGCTGAAAGACAAAACGAGTCCAAATTGCAACCTGCCAAGCCTTTCAGTCTAATGAAAAAGGGAGTGAATTTTACTTCAGCCCGGATGGAGAGCATGTCATGCAAAACAATGAAACAAAGGGTCAAAATGTCAATTCATATTCAGTCAAGGATATGAAAAACATCATGGGCTCTATCTGGCGCAAATGACTCATTCGTATTTTGCACCCGCACAAAGCGGGCTTTTCCCTCCACAGACGCACGTCGGTAAACTGAAGGATCATTTGGTGATGGTGAACTGATGGTTCATTCAATGAACGAAACAAAAGAATTGACTCGGAAAACGATTCACGATTCAGAAGAGTCACGAACGCACATCACAGAACAGAGCAAGGCGAGCATTTGAGCTTATGAAACTTAAACTTTGTTATTTATTTTTTAAACGAGCGATCGTTTCGCTTGATAAGACTCTTATTTATCGTCTGGAATCATTTAAAGCCCTTTGAACAGTTTGCACTGAAACTGTCTTTTGGACCCCATTGAAGTCCATTATATGGAGAAAATCCTGGAATGTTTTCATAAAAACCTTAATTTCTTTTCGACTGAAGAAAGCAAGACATGGACATCTTGGATGACACGGGGGTGAGTAAATTATCAGCAATTTTTTTTAAAAGTGAACTGCTCCTTTAAATCAATGGATTCATATACAGTAGTTCAGTCTTTATTACGTTTACTACTTTAAAATTTGTTTCAATGGATGGACAAGAATAATGAGATGATATCAAAAATATCTTCACTTGTTTCAACTGTTGAACACAAAAGAAGAATTTTCTTGAAAAATGTTGCGAGTTAGTTCAACTCAAACCGTTGGAGGAAACCGATTGCCTTAAATCAATTAAGTTTATTAACTCAAACAATTTAAGCATAAAAAATATTTGATCTGTTTCCAAGTAACTCAATAACTTATTGTTAAGATAACTTGGGTAAATAAAGTTGATAGTACTAATTAGTTACTATAGCTTAAATTTATGAAGTACACTGTAAACCCAAATAAGTTGGCCGAACTTAAATCACTTTTTATAGTATAAACTTATTTAGCTTTATAAGCTAATCTGCTGACGTCGTAAATGCTAATATATTAGGAACAGTATGTTATAAGCACTTACAAACACAGAAGCACTTGCTGTGTGAGCGTAATAATATATAGAGATAATTTGCTCTCAAATCAAGTTGAAAGCACCACTTGTCACCATGATGGTAACTATCCGAAAGCCAACTTTAACAGAAATTATTCTAAATTAGCATAACAAAACATTAATCACTACTAAATCTCACACTTAACATTAATTTTACACACAAAAAAAACAACATATTGCACTTAATTTGAGCATTTACACTCTCTTTCGAGTGCCATCGGCAAAGCATGCTGGGAAATAGATATCCCAGCTGTTTCAGTTAAACTTAAGTTCGTCTAAATTAAAATAAACAATTTCATAAAACTCAAAACAATGAAACAGTTCAGTTTACTTAAAATATATCAGTTCTGTGAACTTGAAAGAAAAAGAAAGTGCTAAATACTCATAAAAATTAATTTGACTGAACTAATTAGTTGAATTTAAGTCAAACCAATTAATTATTTTGACCGTTAGGGTTTACAGAAGGCCTTCACATGAAAGTCAATGGCTATGGCAATGAACATTCTTCAAAATATCTTCTTTTATGCCCTCAGACAGGGTTAGATCAACTCTAGGGTGAGTAAGTGACGACAAGATAAACGTTTAGGGATGAACTATCCCTTTAAACACAGTATTCAGGGAGATTTCACCCCTCATTTTGATTGACGGCTGTCAGTGTGTTGTCCTTGTTCATCACAGAAAGCTTGATAAGCCTGTCCTGTGCTTGTGGCTTTACTTCCATCAGCAAAACAGACATGAATGGGCCAGTAATGTGTTTGTGTGTGCCATTTATTGCTCATTTTTTCCTGCTAAATGTGCATTCCCTGCCATATCTGACCCAGTTGCCAATGCTCACGTTCGCCTTCTGCTTGGGGTATTGGCATTGCACTTCACGTGTTTGTTTTAGTTAATGAGAATCTACTTTAATTAGATTTTGATGAGCATCCAGGCATCGATCAGGACAGAAAAGCACGTCGGTTCACGAGAGGAGGTGCCAGCGACAAACACATTGATCTTCCTTTGTCTGCATGTATACAACATCGCTTGGATCGAGCTGGTCTTAATGAGTAGTTTCACCGCGGGTACTTTCTCCAAAGGGGCCGCAGATACGACGCATACACCAGGGATGTATTTTGTTGTGACATTTGGCAGAAAATAACACTTAAAATGGCTGTAATTGCTCAAAGCAAGAGCGATTATCGCCTCAAGAACTCTCGTAATGCGCGGCCTGATCCATTATTACACCACAATGACATCAGTCTAATGCATAACTCTTATCTTCTCCCACCATAACGCTGACCAATAATAACTGTGGAACAATGCATCTGATTGAATTGAAAAAGCCTGCAATAACCGGGAACATTTGTCTGGATTTAGACCGCCTTCGATAGCTTAACTCAATTGCGAACCATTAAAATCACAGCGCACTGACAGTGCCTTAGACAAGATAGTATTGAAATATCATGACAACTGTCTGTACCAAAACATCCATTTGGGTGTTTCTAAAATAAGCAGTGTGGGATAGGTTTCCGAATTTCCGTGCGAGTGTCTTTACAACCGATGCATTTAAAAGACGGTAATCCAAATGGTGCGCCCGTTCCTCTCTGCTGTCGGGAACGGCTTACAGAGGTGCTCTATAATCTGCTGTCACACGCTAAAAACCTAAATTTAGGGGTAAGTGGAATTTGCACAAATGTCATGCTTTCTTTCCTTCCTTTGTAGCTTTCAACAGAGACATGTGTAGTGCTTGCTGGAAAAGAATCATTTTCCCCCGCAATCTTTGATCATTACGCTCTGTGTGGGAAATTGCAATCGACGTGCAATCATCTCCCTATGCAGCTCGGCGGCACGGCGTCTTCTGCAGCTGTACTTTAGTGAAGGGCTTGCTGTTAATGGTTTTGATAATGCTAGCAGATGCAGATCTATAAACAGCATATTTCAAAGAAGAAACAAATACCTAAAGTGTTCTTAAATGGTCGGTAATTTTCATCAGTGTCATGGCTTCAGATTCAAGCACAAACACACACAAACACAGCAAAGTAGCATTTTGATTTTAGTAATCAGTAGATTTTCTTCTGCAGTAAAAAATAAAACAAATACTTAAGCCTGGAAACCAGCTCAATCTCTTCCAACTCAGATAGGGGTGTTACTTTATTTTATTTTGATTATTTTAATCACTTTGAATTACCATTGTGTATGGATGTGCTACACAATGGGATAACAATGTGCTATCAGTACCATGTTGGTTATATACTAATATTAGAATTTTCATTTAACACTATCAACCAATATTGTTCGGATTGGATATTTAATAATTTCCCCTGTTTTTTATTTATTCAAAAAAATGTCATTATTTAGAATACATTTGCTGTTATGTATTGCTTGGTTAAAATAAATTGTTAAAAGATACTTAAAGGAGTAGTTCACTTAAAAAAAAAAAAAAAACTTTTGCTGATAATTTACTCACCCCCATGTCGTCCAAGATGTCCATGTCTTTCTTTTTTCAGTCGAAAAGAAATTAAGGTTTTTGATGAAAACATTCCAGGATTTTTTCCATATAATGGACTTCAATGGGAACCAAACGGTTCAAGGTCCAAATGAGAGTTTTAATGCAGCTTCAAATGGCTTTAAACGATTCCAGACGATGAATAAGGGTCTTATCAAGCGAAACGATCGCTCATTTCAAAATTAAATAAAAAAATTTACGTTTTATAAGCTCAAATGGTCGCCCTTGCTCTGTTCTGTGACGACCGTTCGTGACTCTCCTGTTCAAACTCATCAAAATGAACAAATCTTTTTTTCGAGTCATTTGGTTGATTAAATGAACAAAATGAACGAATTGACTCAAAAAAAAGACTCGAAGTTCGAACAGGAGAGTCACGAACGAGCATCACAGAACAGAGCAAGCCGAGCATTTGTGCTTAAACTTTTTTATTTATTTTTGAAATGAATAATCGTTTCGCTTCATAAGACCCTTATTCATCGTCTGGAATCGTTTAAAGCCCTTTGAACAGTTTGCACTGAAACTGTCTTTTGGACCTTGAACCGTTTGGTTCCCAATAAAGTCCATTATATGGAGAAAATGCTGGAATGTTTTCATCCAAAACCTTAATTTCTTTTCGACTGAAGAAAGAAAGACATGGACATCTTGGATGACATAGGGGTGAGTAAATTATCAGCAGAAGTTTTTTTTTTTTTTTAAAGCAAACTACTTGTAGTATTTAAAAAATAATAGGAATAACTATGACAATCCTATATAACTGAAATATTTGGACATGTAATTACAGTGTAGTTAGAGAGAATGAAAACACCTTCGATGGAGCACCTAATCAGAATCCAGAAATCAATAGTCTTACCGTAACTCTTTGAAGGGCTCGGCCCTCACGTGCGGGGTCTCCACCGAGTTACTGAACACTGCGCCCTCCGCTCCTGCAAACACAATCCGACATGTACAATCCCAGTCATGCTCTGAACGAGGCAACGGTCCACATGCTAAAATCAATGGACATAATCTGTGAAGCTCCTGTATTGATCCATACAGTCTGGCTGTGTCCCTGCGGACGTGACCTAAAGTCGAGCCACCGAAAACCTTTTCACAAGGCTTTGCTGAAGCAGTTACGTCACGGGTTACAGCCTCGGATTCGATCAATACGCTTCGGTAAAGACTGTGGAGGTGCTCCTTGGAATACTAATGCTCATTTGAAGTCCTTTTGTAAACTACAACAGCTCAATACAAGTGCAATTTTTTTGCTGAGCACTTTGTGTATTTTACTGGTCACCGAGAGTTGAAGAATGTTTAACCCCCTGGGGGTCAAGGTGTATTTGAGGTCCTTGAGATGTTCTGACATCAGTTGCTTATAAACATATTAATAGCACAGGTGAAATTACACTATATTTAGCACAAACAGAAACAGGGCTACCATAATATGTGAGCAACATGTATGTACATGTTTGTTTTTTGAGAGAATATTGTTTATGCGTGGTTATTGAAAAAACTAAAAATGAAAGTTTCTGAAATAAGGCCACAAAACACATACGAAATATGCGTCCACAAGACTTTTGACTAATAGATGTTGTTGCCTAGAGTTTTTTCTTCACAATGATCTGAAAATCATCCTGCCTAATCGTTCACTTAAAACTGTGAATTGGGTTATATTGTGAAAAACATTTTTTGTTTGCCAAGGCAATATGTAAATGGGGGTGAATAGGCCAGCCCTCATCATGTATAATTAGATGATTCTCACCTGAGAGAGACAAAGACACGCATAATAATGAGCCTTACATTCAGGTGAGTCAGATAAGGACAAGAAAAAATTGAAAGGACAACATATATATATATATATATATATATATATATAAGATGTAAACAACACTGGTCAAGAAGCACTTCCTGTTTCAGTTTTTTAACACTACACTCTAAAAAATGCTGGGTTGTTTTAACCCAACTTTGGGTCAAATATGGACTAACCCAGCCGTTGGGTTAAATTTTTACATTACATTTTTAACCCAACATTTCGGGTTTGTCCATATTTGACCCAAAATTGGGTTAAAACAACCCAGCATTTTTTAGAGTGTACATAAAAGCTGGGATAAAATACAAACAGAACATATAAAACTGAATCAAAAAGTTAAACAAACACCTTTAAGATGTTTTCTTTACATGTGAAATATAGAAAACAGTTACAAACTGAAACAGGAAGTGTTTCTGGACCAGTGTTGTTTACATTTTGTGAAATGGTCTATATATATATATAATGAAAGTCAAAAACCCATTTTTAGTCGTACCTGGAAATAAATCCTGGTCAAATAGGTGGGATCTTTTTCAGACAGTAGACAAACCACAAACTTCAGGGAACCAATCGACCCGCAGCAGCGTCTGGCAGTCTGCTTAAGGTGAGTTGTCCTCTTAAAATCATCAGGGGCTACGTTTGCATGTGTAATCAAATAATGTTTAACAATCCATTAGTAATCAGATTGAAATCTCAATTGGACCGAAAGGCCTTCATGTAAACACATCGATCTGGTTGGGCTCGATCTGAACGAAATTTCGATCGGATTGAAAAAGGGTTGTTTATTCCCTGATCGAGAGAACATGTAAAGACTTGATCAGATTGAACATCACATTTGTTTCCCTGTATGTGATTGGCTGAAGCCTTTTCTGTCGCCGCAAAAGTAAAAAAAAAAATCGACATTGAAGCGGAAAAAATAGCCGCCGTTTTTTCGCCACAGCAGATTCGCGTTCGGTGTGGAAGCTCTCATTACACAAACAGCTGATCAGAAAATAAAAACATCGCGCGTCAAAATCGTGTCCAGTGTGAAAGGACCTTGAAGGGATAGTTCACTTTGAAATTAATTTTTGATATGTTTTATCTTACTTCAAGGGCATCCAAGATGTAGGTGTCTTTGTTTCCGCAGTAGTTTCAATTTTGACATTTTTCAGTCAAACCGTTGTTGTCTATCAGTCATACACTGGAGGCTAAGGGAGAGCATGCACAAAGAAGTCAAAATTAAACATGATTTAATGACTCGTAAATGTAAGTACACACTGATGGCCTAAGACACGAAACGAGCGGTTTGTGTGAGAAAACCAACAGTATTTATATCGTTTTTACCTCTTGTAATCATCACCATGACAAAATGATCTGACGGCACGGGCGCTTCGGTCTGGAAGTGATCGCTTGCGCGCCGACGTCACTCTTTGTTTATACAGAGATTTCGGAAGTTTTACCTTTCACTAAACATATTTAGATATACGGGAAACCGCAATGGAAGATGATTTCGGGATATCTAAATATGTTTAGTAAAAGGTAAAACTTCCGAAATCTCCGTGTAAATATTGAGTGACGTCACACGCAAGCGATCACTTCCGGCGTAACATTGAACTGATTCAGTTCGGTTCAGTTGGACATTGAACAACTGATTCAGATCACTGTGATTACACGATATAAATACTGTTTGTTTTCTCACACAAACCGCTCGTTTCATGTCTTAGGTCATCAATGTGTACTTACATTTACGAGTCATTAAATCATGTTTAATTTGGACTTCTTTGTGCATGCTCTCCCTTAGCCTCCAGTGTATGACTGATAGACAACAACGGTTTGACTGAAAAATGTCAAAATTGAAACTACTGCGGAAACAAAGACACCTACATCTTGGATGCCCTTGAGGGAAGATAAAACATATCAAACATTAATTTCAAAGTGAACTATCCCTTTAAGTGTGATTTTCCTCTCGTAGACTAAAGGACGTTCTGACCCAAACCTCAAAAGCTTTTTGACACCATGAGGACCATGACTAACAGAATAGCATGGCTTGAGCCGATGTTTCCCGTGGAGATGCTCTCACATTACAGTGCTTCCCAGGAGGCTGAAGTGTTCCTTAAAAGGTTGCTACAAGGCCTATCTCAGGGGGGAGTGCTGCCATTTGGCGTAATGGCTGCTCTGGGACGTGTAAGATCTGTTGCCCACATGTAGGTTGTGAGAGCAACTGTGGATGGATTTGTCCCAAAATATCAGGAGGGGACAAAAGAGGCTGTTTTATTCCAATTAGGAGACGGTTTTATCTTAGTACAGCTCACCGCGAGGGGCATATTTAGTAGGGCTGGGTATTGAGACAAATTTCACAATTCGATTCGATTTCGATTATGATTCGATTCAATGTCGATTATTTTGGATATCAGTTACAATAAATGGCAATTTTTCTCAAGGGAATCAAATCTCTTAACTAATGCTGTAAACTATGGGAGTCTAGTTGTAGCCTATAGGCTTCATTAGCCTAATATGAAGGTAATAATCAACTGTTATGTAGCTATACAAACACTTAAATTACACTTTTATTTATTTTTATAATAAGAAGATTATATGAAATATAAACATTTAAATGGTGGCTGTCATAAAAACTTGCCAGATTTATTCAAACATGCATTAAATATTAACGAGTGTGGACTAACGAGTTTATGTGGGTTTTCTGAGGTAAATATGACGATACATGACATTGATTACAAGCTGTTTAACTGACGTCTTTCCACGGTTGAAACGCTGATTGAGCGAATCAATGTGACATGATCCGGATTTGGATAAGTTGTACTGTATCTTTAACACACTTTCAGATGCTCATTCATGTTTATTTGGCGCTGTGACTGGTATTATTAAGCCGGAAGAGAGATCAGCGCTGCTGCTTCTCCAGAGCGATCTCACGCCACAGCGCCAAAACGCTATTTATGTTTTTGAATTTCTAAAGAAAATGGACGTAATTTGAAAATTGAGACTTTGTTTCATATCAATAGTAACAAAGGACAAAGATTATTGCGATTTTTTTTGGATGCGCGCAGCCGCGATACAACGTCCCATTCATTCAAATGAAACAGGATGACTAATCGATTCTTGAGAATGAAAAAAATGAGAATCGATTAATATCGAGAAATCGATATTTATTACCCGAGTCACAAATATGATTTGGCTAATTGAACGAATTCAAACATCAGAGCATCTGTTCAAACCCGCCCGTTCTCATCCTTTAGCGTCACATATGACAAAACGGCGCTATACTACGCACATGGCACCCTTTATCGTTAATATTCACGCGAACCCAAGGCGTCATTAATCCTTTAGCGTAATATGAGACTACCCTACCCTATCCCACACCTAAACCTAACCATCACAGCACGTGTTATATTAACGATAACGGGTGCCATGTGTGTAGTATAGCGCCGTTTTGTCATATAGCGTTTCGTCAATGCAAAAAACATTTGTAAGGATGAAAATCAACAAAGACTTTTGGTCTCTTGTTCCAAACCTCTCTATAATCATTCAGTATGGTGGCTGAGCTATAATCTGATTGGTCAGTTCGAATGTCTCATATTTGGGTTACATGGTCATAAACATGGTCAAAATATTGAAACTGTTGGGTCCTTTTATTGGGCACTCTTTCCTTCTTGAGGGCTTTGGCTTTACTCTCTACCTGAACTCTGCCTTCCATCTCTCTTCAATTTTATTACATTAAATTAACTGATCCAAATATTCATAATTAATTATTACAATTTATGATTGAATATTAATATGTTTAGCTATTTGAAATATAAATATTTTGCAATATAAATGTCTTTACTAAGCTTTTGTTCTTGCTGAACACACTTTTGAACCTCGCCTTTGGAGTGATAGAGGAAGCCGGATGATCTACATCTGTGATCAGATACACATCTCTCCTGAGGCACATTGGGTGGGTTTGTTCATGGAGAATAGCTGGAGGCGGGCCACGGCAGATTCCATCAAGGTCGGGAATCACTCCAAGGCACAGCAACAAAACGGCCATACCTGAAGGCCTTGGGACTTTGCAGAAAATGAAAAACAAGTTTATCATCTATACTGTATGAAAATGATACTCGAAATACCTACTCCTCTCTGACAATAATATAGATTTTGGTGGCA